GCTACGCTGAGGGTACCAAGGTGTACCGGCTCTATGACCCACGCGAAGACAAGACACTTGTCTCGCGCGACGTCATGTTTGACGAGAAGGCGGCTTAGGACTGGACCAGTCCGAGTACGGGGGAAGCTGGCGGCTTCACCAGCACCTTCGTCGCCGAGCACCTGGTCATCCACGGTGGTGGAGACGCTAGGGAAGAGGTGCCGAGCACTCTAGGAGGGGTGCCAAGCACTCTAGCGGTAGAGCCGAGCACTCCTGGGGCAGTGCCGAGCACCTCGGGAGGGATGCCGAGCACTCCGGGAGGAGTGCCGAGCACTCCTGGAGGGATGCCGAGCACGCCAGGAGTGGTGCCGGGAGGTTCTATAGTGGTGGTGACCACTCCAGGACGGGTGCTGAGCACTCCCGTGGCGGAGCTAAGACGTCTTGCAGTGGTGCCGACCACTCCAAGACTGAGGCTGAGCACTCCTACAGTGGTGCCGAGCACTGCAGGAGTAGTGATGAGCTGTTCAAAAGTAGTGCCGAGCACTGCAACTAGGGTGCCGAGCACTCCGGCGGAACAGGGAACTCCATCGACGCCGATCGAGTTCGCCTCACCTTCCGGTGACATCATTGAGTTCGTGGATGCCTTCCGCGAAGGTGAGGAGGTGCGGTTCCGCAAGCTGGACAACATCGTCGGTGGCACAGGACCCTCAGGACTGGCTGGTCGGCTGCTCAATGACGCAGAGCTGCTGCTCGTCAGTGCAGAGGAACCACCCACATTCGCGCTGGCCGAACGGGACCGAAACTGGCGATGGGCGATGCTGGAGGAGATGAAGGCGATCGAGGAAAACGAGACTTGGCGGCTCATCGATCCACCTCCAGGATGTCGTCCGATCAGCCTGAAGTGGGTGTACAAGGTCAAAAGGGACGAGCTTGGCGCCATTGTCAAGCACAAGGCGCGCCTCGTCGCCTGGGGCTTTGTTCAGCGCGAGGGCATATACTTCGAGGAGGTCTTTACACCGGTAGCGCGCATGGAGTTGGTCCGTTTGCTACTAATCTTGGCAGCAGCAAAGGACTGGCGCATCCATCACTTGGACGTTAAATCGGCCATCCTCAACGGCGACCTGGCAGAGAAGGTCTTCGTCAGGCAACTCCCAGGTTTCGCCGTCAAGGGAGAGGAGCACAGGGTGCTCCGACTGCGCAGGGCGCTCTACGGGCTACGGCAGGCCCCACGAGCATGGAACGCCAAGCTTGACGCCACGCTAGGCGAGCTTGGGTTTCAACGGTGCGCAACTGAGCACGCGCTCTACATGCGGCAACAGGGGAAGGAGGAGCTCGTCGTCGGCGTGTATGTGGATGACTTAATCGTCACCGGCGCACGCACGGAGGGCATCAACAACTTCAAGCGCGAGATGGCGGCTCGTTTTCAAATGAGTGATCTCGGCGCACTCTCCTACTACCTCAGCATCGAGGTGAGACACGGGAAGGAGGAACTCACGCTCGGTCAGAGCGCGTATGCCTCCAAGCTGTTGGAGCGGAGCGGCATGGCTGAGTGCAAGCCATGCGTAACTCCAATGGAGGAGCGACTGAAGCTGACGAAGGCCAGCACCGCGGCGAAGGTGGATGCAACACTCTACCGGAGCATCGGCGGCGGTCTACGCTACCTAGTCCACACGAGGCCGGACATTGCGTTCGCCGTAGGCTATGTCAGTCGCTTCATGGAGGATCTCAGAGAGGATCACTGGGCTGTGGTGAAGCGGCTACTGCGCTACGTCAAGGGGACGATGGATCAAGGGATCATCTTTCCCAAGACCGGTGGAAGTAGGCTGCAGCTCACTGTGTTCAGCGATGCAGACATGGCAGGGGACATCGACGGACGACGGAGCACCTCTGGCGTGCTCGTCTTCCTCGGGTCGGCCCCAATTTCATGGCTGTCGCTGAAACAGAAGGTGGTGGCGCTATCTACGTGCGAGGCAGAGTACGTAGTGACGGCCACAGCGGCGTGCCAAGTTGTGTGGCTGCGCCGCCTACTGGGCGAGCTGACCGGCGTGGAAGCTCACCCACCAGCACTGATGGTGGACAACCAGCCCGCCATCGCCCTCGCGAAGAATCCAGTTCTGCACGACCAGAGCAAACAAATCGACGTGAAGTTTCACTTCCTCAGGGATTTGTCGATGGAGGGCAGATCGTCATCGAGTTCGTCGCAACTAGTCGGCAACTCGCGGACGTCCTCACCAAGCCGCTCAGACGTCTTCGACTCATGGAGCTGAAGGAAATGATCGGCATGGAGGGGATACAAGGGATAGCAGTAGGATTAGGAGAAGAATTGTTAGAATAATCTACTGCTTCCTCGTGTGAACACACAACAAGGGGAAGGTGGCGCTAAAAGGCCCCTGCTTTGTGATATCAGAGCAGCTGCAGTGCGCGCGCCCGAACAGCTCACTGCAAAGATCAGAGCCACATGTAGAGGCGGCCAGCAGAGTCAGCCTCTTTGTATTATCTAGTTCTTTGTTGCAGCATGTGCGCCGTACTAGGACTAGATAAATAGAGTTGTATAAATAGACTACTACGGCAACTCAGTAAAGAGAGTTCAGATTTGCCATCTCTCATACAGGGCTTCGGTCAACACTGGTGTCTTGTATTGTGTGTGTATGCTCTGTTCTCCCTCTTCTTCAATCTCTAGCCATAGGAGGTGGGGACGGACAACGCTTGTTCATGGTCGGCTTAGCTAGTGGGTGCTCGGCAACACTAGCGGGTGCTCAGCAAGACTGGTGAGTGGTTCACTCACCTGAGCCAGTGATCCTGTGGGCTAACAGCTTCAACCTCTCATTACAAAGCTTGTGCATGTGAATCAGTATGGATTTATAAAGTCAAGAACAATTCAGGACTGCCTAGCTTGGTCCTTTGAATATTTGCATATCTGTCACAAGAGTAAAAGAGAGATAGTCATTTTGAACTTAGATTTTGAGAAAGCCTTCGATAAGATTGAACATGGAGCTATGATTGAGATTATGAGAGCAAAGGGCTTTGGGCAAAAGTGGTTAGCATGGCTGGAATCCATCTTCAGTTCTGGTACTTCCTCAGTACTTCTTAATGGAGTGATTGGAAAAGTGCTGCAGTGCAAAAGGGGTGTCAGGCAGGGTAACCCACTCTCTCCTCTACTCTTTGTGCTTGCCGCTGATCTGCTCCAGTCAATCCTAAATAAGGCTAAAGATCAAGGGCTTCTCAAACTGCCAATCCCTCTGCAATGCTCCACTGATTTCCCTATTTTGCAGTATGCAGACGACACCCTCATTATCATGGAGGGCTGTGCCAGACAGGTGTTTATCTTGAAAGCTTTGCTCAACTCCTTCTCTGAGTCCACAGGCTTAAAGGTTAATTTCCAGAAATCCATGATGGTCCCAGTTAACACAACCCAGGAGAAGCTTGACCTTTTGGCTAGGACCTTTGGTTGCTCAGTTGGTACTCTGCCTTTCACTTATCTTGGGCTACCCTTGGGTCTAACAAAACCACGAGTTGAGGAGTTTCTGCCAATTGTTAATAGATGTGAAAGAAGGCTGGTTAGCACATCTATTTATCTATCACAGGCTGGAAGGCTGCAACTAACAAATTCAGTTTTCACTGCACTCCCAACCTTCTTTATGAGAACCTTCTCTATGCATGTTACCATCAGAGAGCAGATAGATAATACAGGAAAAACTGCTTATGGAGAGGCTTAGATGAAAGCAATAGGGTTAATGCAAAAGCTGCCTGGGCAATGGTTACAAGGGCAAAGGAGGAAGGTGGGTTAGGAGTTTTGGACCTGAAAACCCAGAATGAAGCCTTGCTAATCAAGAACCTCCACAAGTTTTTCAACAAACTTGACATTCCCTGGGTGAAGTTGGTCTGGGAGAGATACTATAACAATGGCAAGCTTCCTAGTCATATCAAAAAAGATCTTTCTGGTAGAAAGATATCCTCAAACTTCTGGACAAATACAAAGGTATGGCATTGGTTTCCATTGAGAATGGGGCTTCATGCTTGCTTTGGGATGATCTTTGGTCTGGACAAGTGCCAAAACATGCTTATCCTGAACTTTATTCATTCACTAAAAGTCCAAACATAACACTGAAATCTGCAAGTCAAGTTCTTCCTTCATTCAAACGTTTCATCTGCCACTGTCAACTGAAGCCTATCAGCAGTTTATTCAGCTAGAGCAAATAGTAAATGACTTTCAGCCTTCAGAGATTGATGATAGTTGGTCTTACATATGGGGAAGGCAGGAATTCTCATGTGCAAAGGCATACAAACAGCTCTATGGTTCAGCATGGGTGCACCCGGTATTCAGATGGATATGGAAATCTTCTTGTCAGCATAAACACAAGGTTTTCTTCTGGCTCCTGGCACAGGACAGACTTAGCACGAGGAACATACTAAGAAGGAAGAACATGCATCTAGAATCTTTTGATTGTGTTTTATGTGATAGCTCAGTAGAAGAGGAAGTCGATCATCTATTCCTGCACTGTGACTTTGCTAAAGCCTGCTGGAATTTGGTTGGTCTAACTATCCCCCAGGGCCAAGGACCGTTTCAGATCTTAGAATCTTTCAGAGCTTAGCTCAATGTCCCCTTTTTTATGGAGATAATCATCATCATCATGTGTTGGAGCATCTGGACAGTAAGAAATGGCTTAATTTTCAGAGGCGAGGAAGCAACCGTTCAGAAGTGCAGAACTGTTTTCAGGAATGTCTTCGGCTTAGTTATACTTTGCGCAAAGAAAATATATCTACCCCACATTGAAGCATGGCTAGATCAATTTGTGTAGTTGAGCTCATCTTCTTCCTCACTTTTTTTATCTCTTGAGCTCTCTGGTTGTAAACTTTAAATTCTTGCTTGTACTGCTCACTTTTTTGGTTCTTTTAATAAATTCAGTAGAGGCGCAAGCCCCTCCTTTTTCTTTAAAAAAAAAAAAAAAAACCACCGCTTGGTTTGCAATATCTTGCATCATTATTTGTGCCAGCTTTTGTAGCTGGTGGTTGCAGCCATCCTAAAATGGTCGGCCATCACGGTCGGCGAGCTCCCGGAGCCTCCTCTGCAGCTCGGCCCGCTCGCCACTCAGGCGCGCGTTGTCGCGCAGCACGTGGTCAGCGTCCCTGAGGGCGCGGTTGAGGCGGCCGAGCAGGTCACGGTTGTCGCCTCGGAGGTGGACGACCTGTTCCCAGAGCTTGGTGAGCTGCTTCTGCTTCCGCACGCGCGACCGCCGCGCCGACTCCCGGTTGGAGACGGTCCTCCGCCGCCGCCTCTCCTCCGCGAGCAGCTGCCGCCGACGCTGGAGCGGTGGCTGGCGGTCACCTCCTTCTTCAGCCTTGTCGTCGGTGCCGGCAGGATGATGATGATCAAGCAATGGCTGGTCGGCGTACTCGAAGCCCGCGGCTGAGTATGGCGGCGTTAGCAGGCCGCTGTCGTTGCACGGGAACAACAGGTGATCGTCATCTGCTAGTGTGTGGTAATGGGGCACGATTCCGAAACCGAAAGGGGCTGTGGCTGCAGGCGGCAGGTACGGGAGGAAAACGCTTGCAACCTCACCAGGGTGCATGCTGTCTCTTGGACCTCGGTGAGCTAGCCAAAGAGACTGGCTGATCAAACACAGCTGAGGGAGGCTAGCAGAGAGGGAGAGGGAAATGCAGGTTTCTGAAAGGAAGCAAGAGGGCAGCGAGGTAGATTTATAGCCTGAAAAAGGATGATGTATGGTGTCCGTACGTAGAACACAGGTGCGTGCATGGGCATAGCCCCGGCCCCCCACCTGAAGCACGATCGGATGGCAACAGCATAGAGGCCCCAGAGGCTGCCGTCATCTCCGATTGATCGATGGTTATCATCATGTCTTGAATATGGTACGTACGTGTCGGCTTCTCTGAATTTTGTACGGGCCTGGTGTGCCTAGGAAAGAGGCTGCATCTTTGCTGCAAATTCGCAATCAGACTGGCCATTCTGCAAGTAATATCGGCGGGCGGCAGGGGATATTTAATTTTTTACCATTATAATATAAGACACCTCCTCAAATAGCAGCTTTAGGTTTGGCGCTACGTTTTTAGCGGCAGGGAGATAAAAACGATACACATTTACCACTTTTACTCACGTGGCACGCCAGCTCCGCTGTCCAGCTTTGATCCAAGTCAGCATCCTCAAATAAAATGACCGTCCCTGCCCCTGTATTCTCCCTCCCCCATTACTAACACACGGGCCCCACAAGTCAGATTCTTCTTCAACCTCCGGCCATCACCCCACAGACTTGCAGCGTTCGGCCTTTCTTGATGTATGCGAGTGCGCCGCCGCTGCCATTTCGGCCCGGGCCGGCGAGCACACAACCACAGGCCGACGGGGCACAACAGGCGTTGGTGCCGGTGCCCGCCCCAATGCCCCCTCTCCGCTCCTCCCTATCCACCATCACCATGGCCACAGCCACCACCACCTATCATCATTGCAACACCATCCTCCACCTCCCCAGACCTCTGCACTTCTGCCGGCTCCCGCCGCCTCTCCCCGTCCCGCACTCGTAGCCCGCAGAGCCGCGAGCGTCGGGCTGGGGGCGGCTCGTCTCGGCCCGAGGGCAAGGGCAAGTTCCGTACCTCCACCGCCACAGTTTTTTGAAACCGTGGAAGAGGAGGAGGAGGAGCATGGGTGGTCGGATGGGGAGGCGGGCTTCAGTGACGAGGCGGAGGATGAGCAGGAGTGGGCGGGCGGCAACGGTGCGGCGCACGGGGAGGACCTGGGCGCGGACGCCACTTTCGAGCAAAGAGGCGAGAGTGTTGCACGCAGCTTGGTCGAGCGTCGGCGTGGTCGGGCGGTGGGAGGCGGGAGGATAGCTGGGCGGCGACGCTGGAGACCAGGTCGCCGAGGGCGGGCGCGAGCGCGAAGGCGGCCTCCGCGCCTCGGCGAGAGAGCGGGGGTGGTGCGACATCGCGCGCGACGAGTAGGGTATAAGCGGCGGCGAGGGCGGGAGGAAGGCGCTGCCGGGTTGGCGAGCTGCCCGTCGGTGGCGGACTTGGCCATGCGGAGCGCTCCTCTGCGGCCGGGCGGCAGGCAGGCGAGGCGGGTGGCGGTGGAGGTGATGCCCTGGCGCGGCAGCGAGCTTCCGGTCCACAAGATGAGGATGGAGTCGAGCTGTTGCGACGCGAGGAGGAGACGTGGAGATCGAGGGCCCCCAGTCGTTGAAGGTGGACGCCTCAGGATCCACCACCCCTGGATGACGCCTCAGGAGGTGCAGACGAGCGCGCCCGAGTCCGGATCCACCACCACCGCGCCCTGGGCTTATTATGGTCCGTCTTGCGGTTCCGGCAGGCGCGACCCGGGCTTTGGTGAGCACGGCTAGATCCGGTGGGCGTGACCCCAGCTCCCGCGAGCGCCGCCCGTCCCTGGCTCCGACGAGCGCGGTCAGCTCCGTCTGGTGTGACCCTGGCTCCGGCGGTGGATGCGGCCTCGTCGGGGTCACTGGCGTCTCGGGTGGAGACGGTGGTGTCACCATGGACTGCACCAGCTGGTCTTGTGAAGAAGAATCTGACTTGTGGGGCCCGTGTGTCAGTAATGGGGGAGTGAGAAGTCACGGGCAGGGGCGGTCATTTTACCTGAGGATGCTAACTCGGATCCATGCTGGACACCGGAGCTGGCGTGCCACTTGAGCAAAAGTGGTAAATGTGTATCGTTTTTCTTTCTCTGCTGCTAAAAATGTAGCGTCAAACCTAAAGCTACTATTTAAGGAGGTGCCATCTGTTATAATGATAAAAAGTTAAATATCCCAGCAGGCCAGTAAGCTGGGTGCTCCGGCCATTCACACGGACGGTGGTTGGCCAGCGGCGGCGGCCGTCGCAGCACCGAATAAGGCGGTATGAGGTCTCTCGATTGAGCAGTCCTTTCTGCAAATCAATTATCGATGATGGCTCCACGTACGTATTCACTCTACGCACTTGCGTTCCTTTGACGTATTTCTACTTTTATTAGGCCTCAAAATTGAGGACGAAACGAACAGTGGATAGAGATGCTAATGACCGATGAACGACGAAAGCAGCACTAGGTGCTCTGCTCCGGATCAATATTAGTATTCCATTCCTCGGCCTCCATCTGAATGATCTGATACATTCACTTTTCTCGGTGAGCTTACGCAATGGAAAAAAGGAAAAGTGAGGCGTTGCGTGGTTGGTTGGAGGTTCACAGCCACAAGCTCTTGATTATATTGTTTTCCTTTGGATAAAGAAAATATGCACCTCAGTCTGCTGATGGGAATTATGTTCCTAGCTCATCCACAACTGCGTACACCGCATATATATTTCTGTCTCAGCACTTTTGTCTCGTGCCCATTTTACATTTTGTGTTCATGAATAAAACCCTAATGATATCATATGCTGAGGATTTCAGGTTTTAGCAATAGCATCAAAAAGTTTATGCATTGCATATTGTAAAGAAAATGGACCCTATGGCCCATTTAGTTTAGACTTATATTGTTTGCAGGTATATTTGATATAGTTCAACATTACCATTTTGGACTAATATTGTTTGCTAGTATATTTGATATAGTTCAACAGGATGAAAAGCGGACTTAGCCCAAGGCGGAGCAAAGGTCTGGATGATCAACATCTCAAGCAAGACATTAAAAGTTACGTGGAAGACCCACAAGACATGCTAGAACGAAATCTAAGACACTTAGAAGTATAAGCCCGGACACGAAGACACAAATAAAATTGAAGCTGAGACAAAGAGATGAATGAATTGGTCTCTTCATTAGCTTTTCAAAAAGTCCAAGATCTTCAAAATTGGAGTTCAAAGCTCAAAGTTATGCCCAAAATAATAAAGCAAATGAGCTTTAGCTGCTTATGGATGCCTCACGGATGGACCACCAAGCATGGTGGTTGGACCACCAAGCACAACAGATGGACCGCCAATAATAGTGGATGACCTATGGGACCACCGGCTGAAGGTTGAAGTAGCTGTTGGAGCTCCTCACGGTAGGACCGCCAGCACCCGCAGTTGGACCACCAGGTTGAGCAGAGTGTGGTCCATGGACCACACTGTCCAATGACTCTTTTTGGATGGGGAGCCTAAATATAACCCCTCCCCCCCATATCAGATATTTGGAGTGTGGAGGAGTTGGGATAAAATCCAAGTAATTATATCTGATAGAGACAAGGTGTTTACTAGTTCCTTCTGCTAAAAAAAGGTGTTTACTAGTTCCCTGTGGCAAGAGCTCTTTAAATTGTTTTTTAGATAAAGGAATTGAATCCAGCTTCATCCCTTAGCACTAAGGGAATCAGACAACTTAATATAGAAGATTAAAGTATCATAAAACACATTCAATTTAAAACTCAACTCTAACATTATTCGGCCAACCAAAGGAAGCAAAGAAATGCATAGTCGCCACTTCAAGCTCCCGGCAAACTTGGTGAATATGTTCTTTGTCGCCATCACAGAGTTTTAACTACGCCAATGACATAACCCATGCGTTCCTCTGAAAAAGACCTGTAAAAAAGTTTTCGGCTGATATTTGTCAAAAACAACTTCATTCCTTGTAAGCCATATTAACCAACAAATGGCTGCACCTCCTACTAACAAAGAATTGTTTATCCCACGTCCTTATTTGTACCATCTATGAAAGAGGTCAAAAACATCCAAAGGTGGTCTTATGCCTAAAACAATGTATACCCCACACCAAAGAAACTTTGCATAAAGACAATAAAAAAACAAGTGCTGAATTGTTTCATTCTGATAACAGAAGGCACAAGGTAAATCCCCATGCCAATTTTTCGTTGCTAAGTTATCTTTGGTTAAAGTAAACCCCTTTTAGGAATCATAAAAAATCTTTATTTTTAGAGGCAGCTTCATACGCCAAACATCCGTACTTACTTTGATCCCCGTGTTGACAAGGTATCGATACATAGAATTTACTGTGAGTGAACCATTAGGTTTCAACAGCCAAAAGAAAGTATCCATCTCATTATGTAAATTAATGTTCACAACTCTTGCAACAAGGCTATTTCACTCTAGCAGCTTATATTTCTATTAAAGCCCTTCTGAACGAAACATTAAGAGGAACTGTACTAAGAGTGTGTGCAACCGTAGCCTCCTTTTGGCGAACAATATTAAAAAGATTAGGATATTCCATTTTCAGCCGATGTCTACCCAACCAAGTATCTTCTCAGAACCTGATTTGGGATCCATCACCCAATTTAAACTTTCCTAGACTAAAAAATTGGTCCTTCACACCCATCATGCTCATCCAAAATTGAGAATCTCCAGTCCTGCTCTTGTTTTGTATGTCTAGATTTTGAATTCCTAAACTGCCCTGTTCTTTTGGTTGGCAAAGAATATACCACTTTGCTAGTCTATACTTTTTGTGTTGTTCATATTGCTAGAAAAAACTTGATCTATAGTACTCAATTTTCTTGAGTACCCCTCTAGGTCCTTCCAAAAATTAAAAGAGAGCATAAATATTGGTAAACTGGACAGAACAAAATTGATCAACACTAGTCGTCCTCCCCATAGGTAACATTTTTCCTTTCCAACTAGACAACTTCTTTGCAATTCTTTCCTCAACTCCTTTCCAGT